GCACAGAACTCCAGCCCTGGATACCTTCCATCTACTCCACCCTCCCAGTGTGATGAGCAGCTACCTGTGGGTGGCAAAGTGGGTGGAAGATGGCCAGGAGGGTTACACTTCGTTTTGGAAAGACAGGGTTGGAGAAGAGGCAGTGGTAGTGTTTTGTAAGTCTGAAATCTATACACTTGTTCCTTAGTTCAGGAGGAAGAACACAGCATATCAGAATGCATTTGGGTGAAGAGAAAACATGTAAGATGCAGCATCAATATAATGGTGGGGATTTATTATAGGTAGGGATGTACTTAAATCACAGTTTCACAATTTTTGTAAAAATTGTGAAAAATGGTGGTTTCCATGATTTAGCACAGAATCCCTGGGAAAACCCCCCCACTAAAAATAAAATACTGGCTCCCCAGTGTGAAGCCAATGACTGCTGTGGCTCAGCGTCTCAACCCACTGTAGGGGGTAGCCACTGGTATGAAGGGCAGCAGTCAAGATGGCAGCTGCTCCCTCCGCCATTGGTTGGCTGAAAGGGCTGCCTTTCATGCAGCCCCACATGTCCCTGCCAGATGAAGGAAGCCCTCTTCCAATCAGCAGCAGGGGACAGGTCTGTATGAAAGGCAGCCCTCTTGGCCAGTGAGTGGCAGGAGGAGGGGAGTTTGCCACGAAAATGGCAAGAAACTACAGGGACAAAATCAGGAAGACAAAGAGAAAAAATGAGATGTACCTAGCAAGAGAAGTTAAAGACAACAACAAGAGGTTTTATAAGATGTTGGCCAGAAAAAAAAAACAAAGGCATCTGTGGGACCACTGATAAACAGCCAGGGGGAACTCTTAAACAGAAGATGCAAAGAAAGCGGAGCTACTCAAGTGCTACTTTGTCTCAGTCTTTAGAAACAAAAATTAAGCTGAAGTCAGGTGCCTAATAAAAATTATTTGAATAAGGAAGGGAACAAGCTGAGAGAGAGTGCTTTTCATGTGTCTGAATCAATTCAAGTCAGCAGGGCCAGATGAGCTTCATCCCCAAGTACTGAAGGAATTGGCAGAGATCTTGGAATCCTTGGTAATAATACTCCTGAAGCTTTGGGAGATGGGTGAGGTACCAGAGAACTGGAAGAGGCCTAATGTAGTAGTCCTCATGGTTTACTAGGCAAAAGGAGGACCCAGGGAACTACTAGCCAGTTTAGCACCACCTCAATACCCAGGAAATTACTGGAGCATATCTTAATGAAGTACTTTTGCAAGCATCTGGAGGAGGAAAGGCTGATTGCAAGCAGCCAGTATAGATTTACTAAGAACAAATCGTGTCAAACAAACTTGATCTCCTTCTTTGGCCAAGTAACTACTTGGGTGGTGGACAAAGGGAATACCGTGGATATAATGTATCTGGTCTTCAGCAAGACTTTTGTTAAGGTCCCACATGACCTTCTCATAACCAAATTGGAGAAATGTGGCCCAGACAAAACTTCTATAAGATGGATAGACAACTGGCTCAATAGCTTCAATTAAAGGGTAATTATAAATGGATCCATGTCATGATTTCAGGAGGCTTTGAGTGAAATCCTACAGGGGTTTCTCCTGGGCCCCGTGTTGTTCAACATATTTATTAAGTATGTAGACCCTTGAATTGAGAGCTTCTTGAGTAAGTTTGAAGACAACATGAAACTGGGAAGGATTGTGAACACATTGGAGGACAGAATCACAGTTCAGAAGGATCTTCACTATGACTGTCAAACTGTTTAAAAATTTGATCACAGTCAGTTGCATGATTAAAAAATGGGTTGCAATGAAATGTGATTTTAGTTGCACAGCTAACAACTCAAAATTGTGGAGCTGGCCCAGGCCCAGGGCATGCCCCCTGCCCAAGCACAGCCCCATTGGCAGTGGGCTTACCCTGCCTTTGCCTCAGCAATGGCAGCCATGGGCTGACCAGGCTGGGAGCAGCTGCTCTGGCCCCAGCCCCACCCTGGGCTTGAACTTCCCTGTTTAATTGCTTAGCGAGTTCCAGGTGGTCCTAACCTGCCCTGGGCCTGATGGTGCAAGGCAGTCCTGCTGCAGCCCAGCACCACCTTCCCCAAATGCCTGATGCTGCCAGCCCGGCTGCTCAGGGCCCCGAATAGGGGTTGTGGGTGGGTGTGCCCCCCCCCCCCCTTCCTGCTACAGCTGTGTGAAGTCTGTGTCCCACCAGGACCCCCATGGAGCCACTGTAGTGGGGCTGCCTGGCACCCTTAGGCCCCATGACTCAGGGAGGGTCAGGACTGCCTGGGAGCTCCAATATGAGCTGCCCCTGGGCCTATGGGTCCCTGTGCAGCCCCAGTCTGGGCCCCTGGGCAGTGGCAGCGGTGGTGGTCCTGTGCACCCACAGAGGCAGCTGCTTCCGGTGGGCAGGGTCGGGATTCCTGTGGAGCCACCTCCTGCAGGCCCCAGTCTGCACTGTGCTGTGTGCCCGGCCCCAGCCCAGCGCCAATGGAGCCTGACCCATGCCTGCCACGGCATGGGGTTGCCACTGCAGCACCAGGCAGATCCACCGCTCTCCTCCCCATGCCACCTGGGCTCCCCCAGGACCTGCACAGTGTTGCCAGACCTGACGAGAGCCCAGGTGACACAGGGAAGAGTGGCAGCTCTGCCCGGCTCATTGATGGCGGTGTTGGGCATGGCTGTGGCTCCGTAAACACTGGGTGTGCATTGCAGTGTGAGCCAGGGGCTGCAGGAGGTGGCTCTGTGGAAATCCTGCCCCTGCCTGCCAGTAGGGGCTGCCTCCACAGGGGCGCAGGTCACTGGGCCACTGTCACCATTGCTCCCCAGGGGCCTGGACCAGGGACACGCGAGGACCTGGGCACAGAGGTGGCTCGTATTAGAGCTCCCAGGCAGTCCTGACCTGCTCCAAGCTGTGGGGCCCGACGCTGCCAGGCAACCCCGCTGAAACTCAGCACCACCTTCCCCAAACTCCCAGTGCTGCCAGTCTGGCTGCTCTGGGCCGTGGATGGGGATTGTGGGTAGGTGTATGGGTGGGTGTGTAGGTGCACCACCTCTTCCCCCCTGTTGCTACAGAAGCCCGTTGCCTGTGCCCCAGATGCTCTATGGCTCTTCTGCACTGCCACCACTGCCTCACTGGGTGGTCTGGAGGTGGTGGTAATGGCAGCAGGGCAGGGTAGCCCGGGTGCAGGCTCTAAAACCATGCACACAATTAACATGTTAAATAATTAACACGTTAAATGGTTCTTGCATTAATCGTACATGTTAACGACAATTCATTGACAGTCCTAATCTTGACCCTTTGGAAAGCTAGGCTGGAGCTAGTAGGAGGCTGTGCAATACTGAAAAGTACAAGGTGCTATGCCTTGGGATGAATAATAAAAAATACAAATACAACATAGGTTACATGTAACTATGACAGCACTATGGAGAAGGATCTGAGAGTCTTGGTAAGGCTCAAGATTCAATATGAGTCTGCAGTTTGATGCAGCCACATACAAGGCAAATGCAGTTTTGGGATGCATCTTGCATCAGGTGCAAGACACAGGAGGTGATATTCCCTCTCTTCTTGGCACTGATTAGGCCTCATCTAGAGTATTGTGTTCACTTTTGGGCTTCACATTTTAAAAAGGATATAGAGAAGTTAGAGAGGGTCCAGAAGCAGATGACAAAGATGATAAAGGGCTTAGAAAGCAAGTCATATGAGGAGAGGCTGAAGGAACTAGGTATGTTCTGCTTGTGAAAATGGTGCTTAAAAGGAGACATAGTAGCAGGCTTCAAATACTTGAAGGGCTGCCATAAAGAAGAGAACAAGTACCTTTTCATTCTTGCTGCATAGACTCAGACACAGACCAGTGCTTGAAAATGCAGCAAAGTAGGTCTGATTGGATGTCAGGAAAAACTTCTTTACTATTAGAACAGAGAAGCAGTGGAATAGATTGCTTAGGGAAATTGTGGATTTACCATCACTGAAGGCATTCAAGAAGATGCTGGACAGCTACTGGTCAGGGATGATTTAGGTGTAGCTATGTCTTTGTCCTTCCATGGGTATTTTCTGGATTTTGTTCATTGCTGCATGGGGCCGGGAGGGAATCCTTCCTACCCTGCTGCTGCTGTGTGTCAGGGTTTTTTGGGTTTTTTTCTAATGCCTGCCTTGGAGGCATTGGGTGTTGGCTGCAACCAAGGCTGGGGATTTTGACAGGGATATGCCAGTACTTCTGCTTTAACCTAAATCTGAAGGTTCCTGGCTCCGGAGTCTTTTCTCTCTGTTGAGGGTCAGACCAATCACAATATTTTGGACAGGAAGGACCTTATGGTCAGATTGGTATGGACTATGGGGGTTTTTGCCTTCCTTTGTAGCAGGGGGCATGGGCCTCTTCCTGGCATCTCTTGAGCTTATATTAACAACTTGGTAGCAGCAGGTCATTGGCTGCCATGGTCCCCTTGCTTTACCTGTGGCAGGTAAGGGTGTTATGTCTTGGTTTTTGTGTAAGGCTTGACTGTGTTGTTTTGCTAAGAGGAGAGGGTAGATAACAGATTTGTATAGAATGGTTTTGATAGGGATAACCCTGCCTCAGGCAGGGTTTTGGACTAGATGACCTCTTGAGGTCCCTTCCAGCCTTATGTCTGTCATTCCAAGTATGTGCTTATTTTAGTGAAAACACATTTTGAGAACACACATTTCTGCAGAACTGCAACATTTCTGCAAAATTTACAGCAGAACTTACACATTTTTAGGATGTGAAGCAAGCCAGCTTGGTTCAGGTCTTAAAATCTAAGTTCTGCAGCAAAATTTGACTGCTATGCAAAGGGAAAACTGCAAGGATAGGTAATTTAGGACTATCTTAGTTAGATAAAATTTATTCTTATGGAACACTAAAGAAAATCACTTTTGGAATGTCTTTATTAAAAATTTTAGAAACATCACAGAATTGATTAATTCTTGTACTTAATGACACTGTCAGTCTTATGTAGCTTTATATTTTTCTTTACTCCTTTTCATCTGTGGTTTCTTTTTTTTTTTTTTTTTAAAGAGCGGTATAGAATCCAGAGTGATCAATTAGAAGACATTTGGCTAATAGGAAATGAGCTTACTCTTCGTCTTGAAGAACATTTCAAGAAGCAAAATTGCAAAGACTTCCTGTGTACCTTCTCTGGTTCAATTCCTTTGCAAGAATATTTTGAATGTATTGATCACCACTTTGAGGTATGTCTTAAAATATTTTATATACTGATAGAATTATCATTAGTTTTTGATAGCAAGTTTTGCTTCATGTATGGTCTTTTACTTTAGCATAGCTTTTCTGGTCTTTTGCTTTCCTCAGAAGTTTCCTAATGATAAACTACTGAACTAGAGACCCATTGTGTTCAACTCCTTTGGATTGGAATTTATTCTGTATTATGAAATGAACTCTGGATTGGGCATAAGGAATTTCTATTTCTGTATGCATATCTGAAACCTCCTTATCCACCTGTTCCTATTTTGTACATCAACCCCGGCCTGGAATAAGGCAGCATAAACATCTTAGAGATCCAGAGTTCATACCTCAGCATTGCTCTCAAGGAATGCTTTTTTTAAGGAAAGCTACCAGATTTGACAGTTAGACTTGAGGCTCCTTGGCACATCTGCTTGAGGCTCTTGAGTAAGTGCCCACTACTGCTTTCAGAGGCTTCCTAAGATAAAGCCTGAGTGGCATTAGCTATCTACTTTCCCTAATTGCTAGGCTTGGGTGTGCATGGAGCAGAAATGGGTGGGCAAGGCTTGATTTGTTGGTGGCCACTGGGGGCTTGACAAGGTGTTTAGTATATCTGTGCTCATTCTGACTTTCTTTGTGGTCTTTGACAAGTGACTTGACCGACCTCTGGAGTGTTACTTCATTTTTATAAAGATAATTGCAGATGAAAAGGACTGCATTAGTGACAAACACTCATTTGGTACAGAAGTTAATTTCTTAATACAAAATTACTGAAGTGATGGCAAAATTCCATAAAGGCGAATAGTCTGTAGTTCTCATTGGCACATTGTTAGCTGCCAGTGTCCAAAAGTGAAAGTGGTTTAAAAATATTCTCAAAAACCTCATTCCACATTTAGACTATAGAAAATGGAGTTTGTGCTGGTCTTGACTAATTATTTTGAGTTCAGAGAACCCAGGGGTGGTTTTACCTGTGGCCTGCTCCCATGCAAATGCTACAAGTAGATCATCACCTTATACATCTGTATAGAACAGGGGCGGGCAATTATTTTGGGCGGAGGGCCGCTTACTGAGTTTTGGCAAGCCATCGAGGGCTGCATGACAGGCAGCCAGGGGCAGATAAATATTAATTTTCTAAATTTTTTAGGGGTCCTGCAGGCTAGATAGAATGGCCTTGCGGGCTGCATCTGGCCCATGGGCCGCATTTTGCCCGCCCCAGTATAGAACCTGCCCATAATCTGGCCTAGATCCCTTATTCACTAGCATCATTAAGTAGGAAGACTGGTCCTTGAACATATTCCTGCTGATGTTCCCTTTTATATGTGCAATCTTCCTATTATAATGCAGTAAAAATGAATCCGTAAATATGTTATGATTTATATACAAGTCCCTTTATATTTAAAATTATTTTGTTATACCTTGTGAAGGCAGAAAGAAAAAATTAAATGTCTTTTCCAACCCCCACACAAGACTTACTCAGTCCCCTCAACCTGTTCCTCTGGCTAAGATTATGGTAATGAAAACATCTCTAGTACTTTAACAATAATGAATAAAATGAACTAAACCAAATAAACTGACCCCCACACAAATAGTTTTCCATTATGTAAGAGGGCATAGCTCTGAACGTTGTTTGTATTCAAAGGCAAATTAAGTACTGAGCAGGAGAGGTACTTAGGTTAGCCTGAAGTAAGGCAAAGTCAGGGTAGGGTAGCAGTGACTAACTGGTTCAGAGAGGCGTAAGATTTGTCAGGTAACTCACCTACAGAAGGTTATGCCTTTCTGAACCAGTTAGTCTCTAAAAGCTTATTTTTGCTTTTTAGTCATAGGCTTAAGTCATCTGTATTGTATGTATATATCTATATATGTGTGTGTGTGTGTATGTATTTTTTAAAAGTAGTTGTATCTGTTATTAAAATGGTGTATAACAACACTAGAGCTTTCACTTCTGTTGGCAGCAGTGTGCTGCATTTTTACTTCCAAAGATTCACAGAAGTTTAGGGCTGGAAGGGACCTCATGTTGGAGGAAGTCCCTGCACCAGAGGCGTGTACTTTCTCTGGCTACACTTTAACTTCCAGTACTCATCCCTTTCTTATTTTCTTTTTTTTTCCACCAACTCCTTGTAGTCCCAGCTGTTTCCCACCATAGATTCCTTTGGGCTGTTTTTTGTGACATGTTCTTTGATTTTACGTCTTCCACTAGTGGTATTTGCACATTTTTGTCTTGATAGCAACATAAGAATTTCCACACTAGGTCGGACAAATGATCCATTTTGCCCAGTTACCTGTCTCTATCTAGGGCAATCTGTACCCTATTCATTACCCTTCCTGGCATCCACCGTCATTGGCTTAGACCTGCCAAAGAAAAACATTTCTGCTTCCAGTGAAGCTAGCAAAATTTGCATCAACTTCATAATCAGACTCAGAGGAATAAAATAAGATGCTGTTAGCTGGTTAATTATTACCAGTCTGGCATCTAAGCCTAAATAATTCCAGAAGTTTGAAATAGTAATGTGATTGTGAGGCGACATGTTAGCTTCTAACACACTGTGCAGCTTTTGTCTATTATGATGACTTGAAAGGTATAATAATCCTGGGTTAGAGAGCCTCTTATTTCTTGAATGGAGCAAAATTCTGTTTCAGGTTATCAGGGAAATCTTTCTGCTTCCCTCTTGGTTTCAATTTTGACAGATCCTGGTATGCTTGAGAGATGATTGGAGATTCTCTTGTCCTTTTCCCCCTCCCACTTCTAAAGATGCTACTTCTTTTGCTTTAGCATTGTGCTCTTTCTCACTTGCCTGAGTTGTCCTCCAAGGATTTTATGTTGACTATCCATATATAATGGCTTGTGGCTTGTTTTATGCCAGGGTGCTTTTTGATAATTAGAGGCCTTGAATCATTTCCTGTTAACTTTGGGAAGCATTAGGGAAGATAAATGTCATGTTACCCATGTCCTGGGAATAGCCTATCTTGGAATGTACATTTTGATGACTTTTGATAATTGCTCTGTGACTGTCATATGGAGGATATTACCTACTTGGAGAACTCCATTTATTTGTCAAAGACCCAGGTTTTAGAATGTCTCAAGTCATTTTTTTGCTTTAGTGTCTTATACTGGTAAATAAAATAGAAATCATTGCAGACAGAAGTATGAATTATTATTGTTGTAGTATGAAGTATGAATTATTATTGTCTGAACATTTTGATATATAATTTTATCATGGTTTTGTGGGCACTTTAAGAAAATTGGACCTCTGGATATTGAGGTGAAAAGGTTTCCCAAAAAGAGAAAGTATAGTTTCAACCAAAGGAAAACTTAATACTTCAATCATGTTCAAAGGGAATTATAACCCTTCACTTTCTGCTGCTGTGTTACATTTAATACAATTTACATATGTGCCACAGACATAGCACATTGAAATAAAGAGAAACCCTCATATCATGGTGCTGACGAGTTAATTTCATTCCTGTCATAAGACCTCATGAAGAGGCTATTGTGTATTATCATAGATTACTGTGGCTGTCAACAATTATTTTCAATTTCAGTAATAGGAGGCATTATTGCAACCTGCTGGTAGATCTCATGATGTGTGTGAAATTTACCCCAAACCAATATAAATCCAAGACAGTCCATGTGACCACAGCAAGCTACTCTTTTAAAATTAATAAATACTATAAGTATTTCCAGACTGTTCCTGATCTAAAACTTCATTATGCACATAGATTTTGAAGGAAGGATTTATCTATTGGCTCAAACTCTTAATCTGGATTTTTTTTAATCCTTAAAAAATTGCAGCTGCGCTTGAACGCTGAAAAATTCCAAGAACTATTATCTGAACGGGCAATACAGTTTAGAGCTATTGAACGACGATTGCTAACACGATTCAAAGACAAAACCCCTGCTCCCCTCCAACATCTGGACACCTTGCTAGAAGGAACTTACAGACAGGTCAGTACAGTTTGGTTATGAACCTAACTTTTCTTTATTTTGTTGTTAAAATTCACATGTTAAAGCACATAAGCTATACTTTCCTGATCACATTTACCATTCAGGAGACCAGGAAGCAGTAATTTGTTTAACCTTATATTCTCTGCAAGTTTCCAGATGATTTGCAATGGTTTTATTTAATTTGTAGCCACAGAATTTCTACTCTTGGATCACAGAAATTTGACAGGACATCATTCTTTCCAAGCTGATGTTGATAGTGTAAATATTTTATAGTTCATGTGAAAATATTTTATAGTTCATTGCTTGTATAAATATTTTATGGTATACTGTAAACTGGTGGAATGGTTTGGCTGGTGTAACATTCACAACAAAATTAGTTGAAGCCTGACCATGTCCTCCTTCAAGACTCTTTATTTCCTTAACAGTTTGTAATGCCATAGCTATAGTTAAGGACCTAGCTCCTCTGCCCCCCACTCCACCCCCTTTCCCCTGGACTGGTCTTAGGCTGGTGGAAAACACGAAAACTTACCTCACTCCTGACTACTACTACCACAGCCCCATGTTGCTTGGGAGCCTAAGTCACATTGTTGGTGTCTTGTGCCATCTTTCTAGGAAACCAGATTAGTCTTCAGTCTTCAACCTGCCATGATATTCTCTTCTGTGCACCTGTGTCTAAAGAGTTGGGGAAATAGATTCATAGAGACACAGGTAGCTTCTGGGCTCTGGCATCCCATCATATAGCATATCATCTAATTGTTTTAAGAATGACTGACGTTTTCTAGAATGTCTCATATATTGAAGCTTTCTAGAAAAAGAATGTGTGTGTGTGTGTGTCTGTGTATTCCTTTTCTAAAAAGCTTCAATCATTCTTAAAACAGTCAGATGATATGCTATATGATGATTAAGTTGAGGAAAGATTCTTATTACATGAAAAAATTGCCTAGAGGTAATTACATAAGAATAAAGGTTACCTTTGCCATAAATTCAATTCTTTCTATTGTATGAATCCTTAATAAAGGTAAGATTTTTTTTTAAAGCAAATACATGTTACTTAATCATAAAAATATGAGACATTTTGATAGGTGCATGATTCCTCCACACTTTCAGGCAGGTTTACTGAACCAGATTATAAAAGAATTAAGGTCTGATTTTACAGTGACAACACACAAAAGAACTGTTACATGTGAACAGATCCCCATTAAAAATGACCATGTTTTTTGGATGTAAAAGTCTGCCTAGTCATTGTGAATTTCAGGATGAAGATCTAAGATCTTTTATTAAAATTTGATAAAAAGTGTCAATGAATTATGTTTGATTTTCTATTCTGGAGGTTTACTTACAGATGCAATCAAGTAAAAAATATATTCCATCTGACTTTTTGTTCTTTAATCTACTGTTGAGAGTCACATTTTAGGATTACAATAACTGAAAGAAACAGAAATAGAATTATCTAAAGTCTGTTTTTTTTGACAGAATGTAATACTTAGTTTTACTAGAGAGTTGATCATTTTCTTTGTTTAAGTCTTTCACATAGTAGGGGAGACATTTATTTTATTGGGAAATGACTTAAGAACATGAGAAATAGTATAGAGAATCAGGTTTATGTGTGTTCTTGTTTTTAAATGACAAAATTTGTTTTCAAGGTTCTTTGGGTAAATGTGATACTTTTTATTAGACCAACTAAATAGTTGGAAGAATTGTTCTTTGCAAGCTTTTGGGTACAAACACCTTGTTCAGGCAGAGGAAGAGTTTGGAGTTGCTTTGTGCTGTCCTGGATGGGATAGAAGTTAATAGTTACCAACTTTTATCCCATCCAGGAAAACAACTGCAAACTCTTCCTCTGCCTGAAGAAGGGTGTTTGTACCCAAAAACTTGCAAAGAACTGTTTCCCCAAATATTTGGTTGGTCTAATAAAAGATATCATATTTACCCAAAGAACCTTGTCTGTCTGTGTCCTTAGACAATATAGCTACAACTGACATCCCCCTGCAAAATGTTTTCAGACTTTTTCTTATTGGAGCGAGTGGGTGGGGAGGGGAACGGGAATGCTGTCTTCCCACCCCTCCTCCCTTGGCACACATTCATTTAAAGGTGTCGTGGGATCTGACAGGTTGTTGAAATAGTGTAACTATTTCAGTTTAGAAGGAGGGTTTTAATAGCACCTCAGGCTTTACTATAAAGACACATGCAAAGCGAGATATGAAGGCGTTTGGAATTGATCCTGGCTAATGGGAAATCTTGGTAAGCGATTGGAACAGGTGGTGTCATCGTCTCCACCAGGGCATTAAAGTCCACAACAGGATTTGGCTCCAACAGCTTGAAGAGCAAAGAGTCCATCAGAAGCAAGCAGCCCCCGAACCAGCCAACCGTGACACGTACATTTGCAACTACTGGCACAGATCATGCAAATCCTGGATTGCACTATTCAGTCATGTGAAACAATGAAAACCATCTATGTCATAGGCTACAATCTCTACCATCTCTCACAAACAAAAGGATGCCAATAATAATTTCAGTTCAGAAGGAGGATTTTAATGAAATAGTTGCACTGGTATAATTCCTTTAGTGTGAACAACGAAGTACTTGTATAAAGATGTCTTATGCTGATATACCTTATTTTTCTTGCTATGTGAGAATAGCTATACTAGTACGTACTTATATCAGGATAGTGAAAAATAGAACAGGTTGCTCTGTGTAGAAAAGTCTTTTAAATATAGGCCTAATGGTGCTTAATAACTGCCTGATATAGATTATTTCCTATACATATTGATATCTATATCTGTAAAGTATTTGTAAACTTTTTTATTGGCATATCTTTTATGCCAAGCTGCAAATTGTTAGAATGGAGTTACTGCATCAATCTGATTTCTGTAATAAAAGTAGAATTTAAATCAGAGGTGTTAAACTCCTTTGGTCCTGCAGGCTAGATGAGTGGCTCAGGACCAGTCCATGGGCTGGATCAGGCCCACAGGTTCCCTCCTGGTCCTTATGTCCCCTCCAGCAGTTGTGCCAGCTGGTCTAGGTCTCAAGCTGTCTACAGTGTGGATCCCAGAGTGACTAGAATGGGCACACTTTGTGGTGTTGTCTGGCTGGAGAAGCAGCCATGCTATGTGTGGTGACAGACCCTGCTGTGCCAAGCTGCACATGGTACTCACCCCTAGCAGCTTCAGCACTGTACTGTATATTCCAGCTTGTCCATGAACCATGCTGCACATGGTGCCATGTGTACTGCAGGTCCTGGACTGGCTGCAGTGGGCACCACATGTAGTACAGTTCAGCTGGATTGGCCACCAGGTGTAGTGCATCTGCTACTCCAGCTGGACTGCACTTTACGCAGCACCCATTCTAGCTGCTCCAGTGTCTGGACTGCACACAGCCCAAGTCTCTAATTGGCTGGAGTGACCACCAGATCAGTTTGGTGAGGGAGGAAAGGGTCAATGGCCAGATCCAGGACACATACTAGCCCTGCACCATGGTTATGTGCTGTGCCCCATGTGAGTCTGATCCAGACCCAGGGACAAGCACCAGGGGCCAGGTGGCAGGGCTCTGTGGGCTGTATGTTTGTCATCCCTGATTTAAATGCAAACAGTCAGTTCTGTAGATTCGTAAGTACGTTAAATCACATGAGTAAAAGTCCTCTTTGCTGAGCCATAGACAATCAGGCTGCACTTGATTTCCTTGCAAAAATGCATTTCTGTTCACAATCAAATCTTTTTTATTAGTCCTCGGAGATATATATTGAGGCAGGATGTATCCAGTGCTACAATAAAACTATTAATGGGTCTGTTATAAGGAAATGGCAATATTGCCTTGTCTCTATGCTGAGAGAAATATATAAGGAGTTTTCAATTGTCTACAGTTGTGAAATGTTTCATTTTGGTTTAATCTTGTCTAGTGTAATTATTCTTTTTGTATTTGTGTTCTATAAAGTGGGTTGTAATAAATTTGGTTGAAATGCTACCAAGTTTAACAGCTGTATGAGGTGCCCTTATTTTGATGGCAGAACTGTTCCATTGGAGGGTTATACAATAGTTTTAATAATATAACCTTGTAAGAGAACTTGTGGCTTGTTTAGTTCTAGTGGGTGATTTGGAAAGTGTGAGTTTTAGAGTCCTGGGTGGTGATTGGACAGTATCACATGAAACAGAATGCACTACTAGCTCGAATTTTAAGGAAAAAAATTCAGTTGGACAGGTTTTATATGAAACTGAACAGTAGGAGACAGTGTGCAAAATGTTGGTTAGTTAATAGAAGGGCTATGAATGTGAAAAAAGGGCTGTAGCATAATTTAAGAGAACTTTTTGTAAATCAGATGCTTTGCTGAGTTCCAGTAGATGATTTGGTATCCACTGTGGTGGTTTTCTCCTGTCCGAGCTCGAAGCTTTCATAGCTTGAGAATGGATGAAGATGCTGCTCTGGAGTTGTAATTCCTACACACTGAATCTTTGTCGTCAAAAGCTAGGAAGATGGTTATCACCATTTTTGGATTTAAGGCATACCCCTTGGAAAACGTCAACGCTTAGTTTTCAGTCATTTGGCTACAGAAGAAATAGAGTGATTCCAAAACACCCAGAAGACCACAACATATTGGAAGGTTTTGAAACCATGGATTCCTATTTGATATCTCTGGGTTTACCTTGTGTATCGGGCGTAGGTGTTATCACACCCAATAGCGTTAATATTGTGTGTTAATATTGTTCACCCTTAAGGATTTTGCTGTACCATTGTTGGGAATCGGTGGTCTAAAATGTCCACTTTTGGGAAAAGGGAGAGAAGACTTTGGATACTTATGATAGAGTTAATCTTTAAGAGGTGTAGTAGAGTCCTAGGTGATATCTCTGCTGTCCATTTTGTGTTACAAGTGTTTAAATATTTGATCTTTCTTCAGGTTTTCTGTATTTGTTTTGAGTGTTTTAGGGACTTGTCTTATAACTCACAGGCTGTGAAGATCTTAGTGACATGGCAGACTAACCACTCTTTGTGCATATTTTGTTTTATAA